GCTCTTAACAAAAAAGGTTTGTAAAGAAAATTAGTTCCTGTTGTCAACTCAGAATGGCGACTCCTGGTTTTTGTGTACGTAATCACTAAAACATTGTTTAATGCCAAGAATAAGTTAGAAGTGAAATAGTTTTGAATATAATAAAGCTGTTATATAAAACTCTAATTACACGACCTATTCTTTATAAGAGTTATTATATTGTTTTCGTGCTACAATATCATAAAAAGGTTTTGTTCCTCCTTTCTATATTCAAAATAAAAAAATATCGGAATTTACCACTACTGCCACTAGAGGGAGTCCATATAGTTATAATAATAAATTTTGTTTCCGACAATTGAACTCAGTAGATTAATCGTGTGACTTCGTTTAAAAGAATATTTATCGAGAACCCCATGCTTCTTCCATTGAAAAATGTCCCTATTTTGAATTTAATTTGTCAGTGTCTAACTTTAGACATTTCTCACATTAAATGAATCATCGCTTTAAGAGCTCGAGCCTCGTCTCTCTTTGTCGTAACAATCAGTTTTTATTCTTACATTAACGGGGACGTATCTGAATGAAAAGATTACACAATAAAACCAGCTGTGAAATACGTCAACGGTCATTAAGCTTCAGTCAAACTCCACCAAAAAAAATTACATTTCTAAAAGAACTTTATTAAAATACTGCAGTTTGAAACCATTTTTTTTAGATTCTTCATTCTAAAAGCAGTAAAAAGACATCTTTAAATAGTCCTGAGTCCTTTTCTTTACAGTAAACAGTCGTCCTCATTAATATAAGGAACAGCCAACTTTGCAGTGATTCCACAGAATGAAAATATTATTGTTAAATATCTAATACAGAAAGAGGCGATAATAATACCAAAAACTGGAGATTTTCACGGTGTAAGGGACAATTTAATTTATTTATATTTAATTTATTTGAGTACAAGAATGGAAAACAAAGAAACCATGGTGACATTGAAACTATTAACTAAATGTAATACATACATCAAACGAAGTTCAAGCAAAAACTAGAATCTGTATTTATTCAACGAAACACTTCTAAATACAAACCAAAACTTTGTTTGAATACCATAACGAACAACGTAATCAAAATATTTATTGATTATCGTGCTAGCTACATCTCTTTTCGAAATAAATATTTCAGATTTAAGACAATTCTCTTCAAGCTGTATGTGATTTTGTTTATTGAATGTAACTTAAAAACTTAACGATTATCATGTTGTGTTAAATGTCGTAGTTAATAAATAGGCTTAACGAGAATCGTGTTGTGTTAAATGTCGAAGTTGATAAATAGGCTTAACAGGAATCATGCTGTGTTAAATGTCGTAGTTGATAAATAGACTTAACGAGAATCATGCTGTGTTAAATGTCGTAGTTGATAAATAGACTTAACGAGAATCATGTGTTAAGTGTCGTAGTTGATAAATAGGCTTAACAAGAATCAGGCTGTGTTAAATGTTGAAGTTGATAAATAGGCTTAACAAGAATCAGGCTGTGTTAAATGTTGAAGTTGATAAATAGGCTTAACAGGAATCATGCAGTGTTAAATGTCGTAGTTGATAAATAGACTTAAAAAGAATCATGTTGTGTTAAAATAGGTTTAACAAGTACTGTTCTTTGTAAATGATTAGGCTTAACAAGTGCTACTTTTTGTATTAAGCAATGATGGAAAAATGGGCTTAACTAGCATTGCCGTGATAAACGAATAATTCTATCGCGTAATATGCTGCGGTAAATAATCAGACTTAAAGTGAATTGTGTAACAGTATATCAATAGGCTTAACGAGAGTTAAATATCTTAAAAACTTAACAAGTATTATTTTACAGAAAAAAAAGAAGACCATTAGGCTTAACGTTTACTCTGTTATGGTGGAGAAATAGCCTTTAGTAATGCTGTAGTGTAGCAAACGACTCTTATTTACTCTGCTGGACATAAGAGGGACTGAAGGTACTCTGCTGGACATAAGAAGGACTGGGGATACTCTGCTGCACATAAGAAGGGCTGGAGATACTCTGCTGCACATAACAGGGGCTGGAGATACTCTGCTGCACATAAGAAGGGCTGGAGATACTCTCCTGCACATAAGAAGGGCTGGAGATACTCTGCTGGACGTGAAATTAAGAAAAACAAAAATCATAGAAAGAGTTTAAAAACTTCTTGTTCCTTGATAACCAGACTGTCTGATATGAATGATTAGTTTACAGAGTTTCCTTGATAACCAGACTGACTGATATGAATGATTAGTTTAAAGAGTTTCCTTGATAACCAGACTGACTGATATGAATGATTAGTTTAAAGAGTTTCCTTGATAACCAGACTGACTGATATTAATGATTAGTTTAAAGAGTTTCCTTGTTAACCAGAC